ACGCTCTAGCTGGTGTGATGAGAACATTTCAGATAGCCAGTAAGAATTTGCCAATTTGTAATGGATAGCTTACAAGGTTAAATGGGATGGTGATGGAAAGACGGAACTCGCAGGATTATGTACAAGGTACCTTGCAACATTCAGCAGGGGCGCTGGTAGACTTGAGAACGGAAGTTGATTCAATGTTATTAGGCAGTTTCTGTTGGATTGTCACTTCTTTTTTTTTAACCAAAGTTCAATAAACCACATTCTTTGGTTACCTCCTGTCTAAGACATTTTACACACGATTTATTTCTTGTCTAACTCAATCACACGGGATGGGCTTCCTGTCATAGTCCATCACACAGAATGATTTTCCTTTTATACTTCAGTAAGTAAATTTACTTAAATGATTCATTACCTTTGTACCTTGTTCAGCTATCATAACTTTGGGGCCCAGTCCCTGGACACATTATGTACCTCCCACAGGATGGGTATGGGGTGCATAATAAAGATATTAAACTAAACTTTTTTACTTCATCACACAGAATAGGTTTCCTGTCAAACTCTATCACATAGAATGAGTTCTCAGTCATGAAATCTGTTAGGTTGAGCTGGAATGATTCACTAGGATGAAGATATCGTCAAACATTCTACTACTAGTTCAGTAGCTGCCAGAGCTTTGTTTCCTTCTAACAGGATTCGACTTAGTGAAAGAAAATGGTACATGGTACAGATAATTTGTGGTTAAAGAACCGTTTGTAAATACTTGGGGCATTTCATTGTGGATACGTTTCGGTTCATGGATCATGGTCACTTCAAATATTTTGAGTGAACGAGGTCCCAGGACCGAAATGTATTCATAATAAAATGTCCTAGATGTTTGCTCATGTGGTTGACCACCGAGCTGGAGTTACCTTTACTGTTATACATAGGGATTATTATTTTGGATGGCTTTCATTTTTTTATGTATTTGTGTGTTGTGGAAATTTGACGTGGAGCTTCTGACACCTGACATCGGCGAGAGCAGGCATTCACCTTGAAGATCTCCATACTGAAGTGCTGGAAAAAAATTGGCAGACCTCAGGTCTGCTGTCTCTTTGAGGAAACCCATAACATGTTTTTCTCCGGGGACCAAGAATTTCTGGGAATGAAGTGATGGTAGTAGTGGGTCAAGTACATCGACTTGTAGGGATTGTGTCCTTCCCTCTGACAGTCAGCACCACCTTGCTGAACAGCATTAAATGAGACGTAGGTGTCTAGCAGGGTAGATGCACAAGTATAGTTTCATACCACAACCTGTCTGCCATTATTCGGGAGGTATAATGTGATCCCATCGTGGCAGTTGGCAGGAGTATCTTGGTTTTTGGATAATAAAGCACTGGGCTGTAGCAAGGCTTCTCTTTATGACCTTGTTGACTACAGTGTGTCTAACATGCTTTCCTTTGCAACTAATGCAGTCCAGACCATAAGTATTAGCTACTACTTTGCCGCAAATGCACATGTTATGTAAATAAGTGCAGCAAGACAGTCACTGCAGTGTGAAGGGTCTGTGGGTTGAAATGTGTGCCAGTCACTGAGGTGGAAGCTGTTTGGAGAAATCACCTGATTTGTACTCGGCTGAAGCCAAGCTCTCTTCCTTTCAGAGCTTGCACTCTGTAACTGCAGAATTCCATGAAAGGGCCGTCCTAACTACATTGTTAATGGGCCAAAGTTTCATCTGTCTTTATGCTGAAAGGGTATTATTCTACATGCTGATGCCATATCGTAGGTAGTCAAATTACACCATTTTGTTGGATCCATTCAAGGGGGATAAGAAGGCTGGCAAAGTAATCTGAGAGGCTGCATGTATGCTTGGCATACCTAATTTAGCTGGAAGTGTAGCTTGCTGGAAGTGATTCGCTCAAGGATATAGGTTTAGGATTTTCTTTTCTAGCATGGACCTTTAGAAGAATGACATGTTCTGAGAGACCCGCCTAGGATAAAGCACATCATAAGTAGTAGATTAACTTGGGGAGGGATGGACATGGTGAGATGAGACATTGTGGGTATCATTGTTACTAATCATAGTGTCCATCATTTTAAAATAATTGTTTTTAAGGATCTCGCCAACAGAATTAGACGTAAGTTTAGCACTATTCAGTGGAACCAGTGACTCGCAGTCTTGTTTGTATGTATGTGTATGTACATATATTATTTCTTACCTCAGCGGCCGTCTCGCACCAAGGCGAGGTGACCCAAACAAGGAGAAACATATTCACTATCATTTATTCAATAGCTGTCTTGCCAGAAGTGTGCCGACATTGCAGTTTAGATTACCCTTCAACTGCAACATCCCCGCCCTTCCTTTAGAGTGCAGGCACTGCCTTTCCCACCTCCAAGGCTCAAGTTCTGGAATATTTTATAACTGATTTATGAATCTTCTCTCGCTGTTCAGAACTAGAAGGGAGCTGTCTTCCGGAGCTGGGAATCCAGTTCCTTGAAGCCTGTTGCACATTTTCTCCATGGCCCAAGGGGCTCCGATCTTACTGGAATAAATTGCCGATAGCTCCAAGTCCCCATATTTGTTTAATTTATTGTGTGTTTATCAGCTCTTTCTTCCCCCCCCCCTCTCCCTTTCCATTTCCCCTATTGCTCAGCATTGTAATGAATGTCGGTGTTAGCCATGGTGGATAAGCAAGTATAATCCTATAATAATAGTTTACTACTGTCCTGGGAATGATTATGATCCCATCAGGGCACTTAGCAGGACTGCTGGATGCTAGGAATATGGGTTCTCTCAGTCGGGTACCCAGCTGTAATTAGGTTCCTAATTATCGTGTTGCCTTTGTTGTCTCACGTGCCAACCCACGAGTTAGATCTTGTTCACCATTCTAGTGGTCACATACACAATCAGATTCGTAGAAATTGAGCTAGCAGGGCAGAGAGCCACTAATCTGGAGGGACTGCCAGTCAAAAAGTGTTCCTAATGTTGAAATACAAACAGTTTAAAGTCTCTAGACTGATGTGTACTTGCAACTTCGAAATGGGCAATCTTCTTGATGGACATTGCTAAAACAAGCATATTTTTACACACCTTTTATGCCTGGATTAAAGGGCAGGACATCCGGGTAGCTGCCTTCGCCGCTGTCTTATAAAGGTTGCCTAAAACATAAATGCAAAACAAAACAAAACAAAAAAAAAATCGAAAAACGGTACTAAAAGTTTCATGTACATCAAGTTAAATTGTTGTTATAATCACTGCATATAAATGAAGTAATAAGTTTACAATTGATTTTTACTGGGTCTAATAGGAATTCCGTTTTATGTTGCTACTAAGACTGCTGAACAAATATATTGAATATCAGTATTGGTTGGTAAGGGAGCCAAAATTTAAGCCTGCTGCTTTGAATGAGTTTATACATACATTCGACGAAATTGGACGTGTGCCTCGGCCAAGTGCTAGCTCACCCAGGCTGTGATGGATATGTCGGCCAGCGGACTGTCTGCAGTAATAGTTTGGTTGATCAGGAAAGCACCAGACAAGTCTGGCCCAGGACCCGGCCTGAGGGAATAAAAAAATTGTGTATATCAGAGCTACAATTCTATGCATTTTATTTCCTTATACAAATATTAAAGGTACAAATCATGACATACCAGTGGTGATGCTTGGCATTCAGTGACATGTGAGTGTGAGGGCTGCTTAGTAGGAAATAGCAGCCAGACCTTTACAATGAGTACCGAGGAGGAGGGTTTAAGTAAAGACCCTATGAGGGATTCTCTGATGAGCAACAGTAGTGATGAGTTTTCTGATGATGACAGTGAGAACAACAACACCCCTATCCCAGAGAGTCTTTTGGAGAACAATTTAGATTTAGAATTTGATATGTGGCAGGGCCAGTTTGAGATCAGCAAGCCCCCGCCCATGTACAACAATGGTCACGCCTTCTACAAAGATATTGTCAAAACGGTAAGTGAACGAATATCCTCCTCTTGATGTATTATTTATATAAGGTATTGGTATTTTTTTTAAGTATATAGTCAGAATAAGATATTTGTTATACTTGATAGGACACCCTCCTCTAAATAGGTTTTTAGTTTAATATCCTTATTATGCACCCCATACCCATCCCATGGAAGAGCCTTTTAGGCACACATTACATTTCGCACATTCTGCCTGAGCTACAAAACGAAAGTGAAATATCTGTTAGTTCAAGCCTAAATTATGTTAAATATGAAATTAACCTAAATACCCATATCTAACTAACAAAATTAATGAAATAACTTAAACTGGCGGCTTATATTTGGCAGTACAGGACATCGCTCATCAGGAGTATTAGTTGTCCCATGTAGGCCGTCATCAAGAGTTAGTTGTCCCATGTAAGCTGTCATCAAGAGTTAGTTGTCCCATGTAAGCTGTCATCAAGAGTTAGTTGTCCCATGTAAGCTGTCATCAAGAGTTAGTTGTCCCATGTAAGCTGTCATCAAGAGTTAGTTGTCCCATGTAAGCTGTCATCAAGAGTTAGTTGTCCCATGTAAGCTGTCATCAAGAGTTAGTTGTCCCATGTAAGCTGTCATCAAGAGTTAGTTGTCCCATGTAGGCTGTCATCAAGAGTTAGTTGTCCCATGTAAGCTGTCATCAAGAGTTAGTTGTCCCATGTAAGCTGTCATCAAGAGTTAGTTGTCCCATGTACGCTGTCAAGTTAGTTGTCTCATGTAAGCTGTCAAGTTAGTTGTCCCATGTAAGTTGTCATCAAGAGTTAGATGTCCCATGTAGGCTGATGAAGTAGGATGGGCTGTGGATAATGTTTAACCCCTGGTTTCAAGGAAAGGAAACTTGTAGCATAATTAGCGTATCCCGCGATTCATATACAGATGACTAAAGGTTTTTGGCGATTTAGAGCTTATGTATACAACATTTATCATTAATTATACATTCAAGATTAATGCAAGATTAACGTATACATTATTATTATTATTATTATTATTTTTAGTAATTGATGTTTATATAATGCGAAGATAACTGCAACTTTGCTTCACAGGTACAAATGTTGCAGCAACAAGTAGGAGTTCTAGCAGAGAACCAGGTGAACTCTGATGACAGGTTCTCCAGAGTTAAACAGGACAACGCAGCATATCAGGAGAGGTGGGTTTTTTTTTTCCTATTGTGTAACTATTGAGTATATGTACTTTCCATGTTTTATTGAATACACTTTGGTTAGCGTATAATTGTGTAGTGTCTGTGTAGTTTAAGTTGCTGGGGTAGTCTCTTCTCTCTACCTTTCGACTCAGTATGACTAGGTTTCAGATGTTCACAGCCTCAACGGCCTGGTCGGACCTGTCTTTCAAAATGTATGTGATAGTTTGTTTCTATCTCTTTGGAGTGTTCACAAATATGTGGAAATAAATCTCTTATCTTCAGTTCCACAGGTGTGGTGCTACTTCAATCTTGCGTTTCTTTACACTGTTTGTACATATTTATTTTTTAATTCTTGAAGAGTTTTCTGACTTTTATAAAGCGTTTCTTCTTTCATGCTAATGAAGTCATCTCACTTATCTCTGGCTCATGAATGATCATTTCCATTTGTTCCATTGTCCTGGTCCCATCTCTTTACCCGTCCACTGTCTTGTGCCAATTTCAATGTGTATTTTCAGTTTTTGATTAGCTTCTTGATCAACTTGACATAAAATAGCCCAGTTACGTCTGTTTTTTAATTCTTGTATCAAGTGTGCTCCTGTTTAGCTCGTTCAATTTTTTTTTGTCATTCACTTGTATGTTGAAATATTTTCTAATGTCCCTGTGTGTAATTTTGATGCGTAATTTCCGACTCTGCCTTTTTGTTCAGTTTATTTAACCAAAAAATACAAAAGTGCTAATGGGACTTGATGAGCAGGGTTTATGGAAAATTGAGGACTTCTGATATGGGTGGCAAAGGTTATAGGATGTCGATACATGTAGTCGGTCTGTTTATATTCCAAAAAGCTCTTGACCTGCCCTCCCATAGTTTAATTAAAATACACAATGACTGTGACCCACCTTCCTTTCCCAGCCAGGTGATTTGTTGCACAGATATCTAATTTTGATTATGCAATTAAATGTGTTTTAAGACTTCCTGAATTGATGATTAACCCTAAATATCCAATGAAGAGGTAGTGTTTACATTGGAACTCTCATCCTCTGAGTCGGGCTCTGTATACATCTCTCAATATTTTAATTGTTTTACTAGACTCGTTATTAAGTCTCAGTGGAAGATTTGAGATTAAGTAAAAACAGTTTTCTAAATGGGTTGCCAGTATATGATAATGTACTGACTTTTTTTTTTTAAGGTGAACTCAGTCAAACATTTTACAATATAATATTAGCTTAAGTCTATTCAGCTTCTTTTCTTTTGTATCTTGGTGTTAGGCCACAAAAATTGTGTGAAAATTATGGAGAGGAAAATATTGGGGTGGAATAGATCACCCAGGATTGATTATGGGTAGAGAGAGATAGAAGATAGAAAGAAGAAATTTTGAGCTTTGTCACTCAGATCATTCAAATATGGCTTCATTGGCATGTGCTATAGTACACACATTACAACTTCTTAAGTCATTTATAATAAGTAAGAATTTTGGTGTATCACACTGATTATACTATCACATGTAATAAATGTTGCTTTAATATTCTTTAGAGGGGGGTAATAAAAAAAAACTTGATGCAAGTCGTTAATATAACCCTTTCATATGTTCCTGGCAGTTGCAAATGTGGCAGCCACCTACTCTATACTCACTATAATGTATCCATGGGTAATACATTCTAAGACCTGTGGATGTCATTTTTCGTTTATTTACATACCTATGATGAAGTTTAATTGATAAATTATGCAAAATAAGTCTAGAATTAGCACTTTTATACTGATGGGAAACACTTCACAGCTTCTCATAGGCTTTGAAGAACTACCATCATCACTACTTTTGCACTTTGGGGCCATTATTAAGCAAAACAAAGGGTTATTTTCGGGCCATGTTAAACCATGGATAACTGAAACAGTGGATACTAAATCAGCAGATACAAGGATTCTACCTGTATATTATTGTAAGACTTGGTTAATGACAGCCAGATTTGCATCTGTCATAAGGCCAGTGAAATGAATGAAAAGGTTATTTCAGAGACAGGTTTTTTCCTCTAAGAAAAGTTGTAACAGTTTATTATGCATTGCTTAAGGTGTTTAATGTTGGTCTTAGAGGTTTTAGCCAGTACAGTATTTAAAAATAAGTACTTTTACAATTAACACTTGACAGAGTGATGCAGTTTATGAATGAGCTAAGAAAAATGGAAGGCAAATATTTTTAAGAGTCACAAATATAGATAAAATTAAATACGTATGTTAAATAAGGATACAGAACTCATTTCTAGTAACATTTTAGTCTTTTCTTCTTAACCCTTTCAGTGTCTCCCACATTAATCTATGTCATGAATGCCAGTGTCGATCATGTAGCTCTACATTGTAAGCTCAGCTCCTCGTATATGCTGTAAGCAGTAAATTTCAACCTAGACATGAAAATGGGCTGTTGTGCACAATATAAAATATCCTGCCTTACGCAGCATGATGGGAAGAGCAAACCTCTGGCTTTGTGTGTCATTTAAAATAGCAACTTTGAGTTATTTTCTAGTATGGTTTTCTTATTTTTTTCTTGGTGTCAGTGGCATGATGAAGGGTGGGGGCTTCCCCTGTTCCATGACACCCATGAATCATGAACCATGAACCATTCTTAGTTGTATCTATTATCCAAGAAATAGGGTAAAGCTAAGATTTTTTGCGTAATAATAATAAATGGAGAGCAAATGTTATATACGAGAGGCCTAGAGACATGATTAATGAACAGAGGAAAGGTTTAGTGGTTGGAGTGCCTAGTGTTTACTCTGGATTGCATTTTTAAATTGAAATTATTTTTATTTTATGTAAAATTGGCCAAATTACTGACTTCTGTGCACATAGTAATGGCATATTAGTGAAATAGCTAGGAATTGGGTCAAATGTGCATTGGATTTTACTCGGTGAGTGAAATTGCTAAAGCGTTAATTGCACCCAAACTGCCAACTTTATGCCTGCAGAATT